TGGAGTGTCAGCCTAGACTATGGGCTCAAAGTCCTGACAACTAGTCAGTGGGGGGGTGGGGGGCTTAGCACACACAGATTCCTGACCCAGACGAAAGAGTAAGACAGATTGAGCTGACCAAGGCTGACATATTCAGGATAAATCTGTACAAGTGGGAGAAGAGAAGCAGCAGTGATCCAGGATTAATATCGATATTCCACAGGACATTAGGCTGTTTGACATTGTAAATGATATGTGCGAAGAAAAAAGCTGCTCTGACAGATGTGTGCAAGGAGCAAATGTTATGCAAATTGCACCGAATGTGCCATGATGGGAGACTTAACGTATTAGAATAAGGAATTTACCACTGGCCGAATCACCCTGCCTCAATCATCGCTACACTGCTCCTATGTTAAAGGGAAAGCTCGCACACCAACAGTTGGCATAGAGGGCAACAGACACAGAGTTTCAAAGAAACAGGAGCCGAGCAATATCGAGCAGATAGAAAGAGTTCATAAGTGTACGCAGATTGCAAATGATGTCTTATTCAGAGATTAGGCATTACACACAATATGATACAAGAATGGATCTGTGCACAACGGCGTCTTAGTGTTTCTAATGAGAAAGCTGCACTCGTGCCAGGACTGAATAGCAGTGCAGTGCTGGATCCAAAGAGAAACGGGTGGCTTTCTACCGACTATGTATCATCTGTGCTCTTCAGAGAACAAGAAGAGCTCGGCACTCCATCTGCTACACCACAGGACAACTCACACCTCAGCACCATCCGACTTTAATCAAGAACCAACTCGGATCCATTCCCTGCGGGAGGTGAAGGTTGTTTGAGGAAGTGCAGAGTGAGGCATCAGCGAGGACAGGGACAATGATTGCAACCTCGAGCCGACTGGGCTCATTGACACAAGCAAAACAAGAGAACATGGGGTCAGCCTGGCTTAGTTGAAATGGAGGGTGTTGGGGGGGAACCTGATGAAGGGCTGGCAGTTGGACTGCCCAAGGCTGATGCTCCAGGGCAGTGTTGGAAGAATGCTGCATTGTTGGAGCTACCGTCGTGTAGATGAGACATTAAACTGAGGTCCCATCTTTGCCGGTTAAGTGCGCAAACCAACAATGCCTAAATAAAACTGGTCATTCCCTCCATGGCTGTTTCTAACTCATTGCTGTGCTCAAATTGGTTGCTGCTTTCACCCACAAAAATACACAGTCACTACACTTTACAGTGCATCTTGTGAAGTGCTTTGAGAGGTCCTCCTGACGTGACAAGTGCTATATTAAATGCAAGGATTGTTCAATGTCAAGCCTGTTTGTCATGTGCAAATCAGCTGTAATGTTTCCCTACAAATACACAGTGACTACACTTATACTACCAATAATCCTATAATTGTAATAATCATCCCTTGCATTTGTTATAGCGCCTTTCACATCAGGAGGATGTCTCAAAGTGCCTTACTGGATATACTGTGAAGTGTAGTGACTGTGTATCAGGCACAGTACACTAGCCAGCGATTATTTCCAAAATGTGTTTTGCTGTGATAGGCGCTATATCAGATGCAAAGATTAGTATCCCGCAGTGAGGAGAGTATCCAGCAGGACAGGTGCCCATCCACCAAGGAGAGGTTTTCAGCACAAACTTGGCAGTGAGGACGTGAAGAAAATGAGCGCAACTCAGTAAATTGAATTTTATTTTAACATATCTTTAATGTGCTTTAATTCGGCCAAATTCAGCGATGTCAAGTATGAGTTCTGTCCCTGCCCATTTGAAAGCAATAGCCTGGCTCAGAAGCTTTCTTGCCTCTGATTCAGAGGGTTGTGAGTTCACACTGGGAATTTGAACTCACATAGTCTAGGCTGATATTCCAGTGCTGTGCTGGGCATGAGCTGCAATATTAGAGGTACCAAACTTCAGATGAGACATTAAACAGAAGATCCCATCTGTGCCTGTTCAGGCAGACGATAAAGATCCCACGACACTATTCAGAAATAGAAGGGAGTTTTTCTCTCCTGGTGTCTTGGCCAGCGATTCCCCCAGATAAAATTGGTCAAGCACTCCATGGCTGTTTGTGGGACATTGCTGTGCACAAATTGCCTTTGCATACAAAATTGCACGATAAATCCTGTGAAGCACATCGAGGCATGTTCCTGACGCGAAAGGCACGGTATCAAATGGAAGGATTATTAATGGAAGGATTATTATATTCCTCAATTGCGGTCTTGTCAAACAGTCCAGACAGTTAGGTCATGTTGCTTTGACTGGCATACGAAGCATCAAATTAAAGTTGAGCACAGCACGATTTTAATTCCTCTTTATTCATTCTTGCCACACATCTTGACATCTATTTCAAATTTGAGAAACAAGGCACGGAAACCATGAAAGACAATAAATGAAAAGAAAATAATTCTCGGGAGGAAAAAAAGGAGACTGACTGAAGAGCAGCTTAGCTGGGAACTGGAAACCCTCCGTTTTATTTCAGGCTACTTATTTTATTTACTTAAATTACAATACAAGTGTACAATTATTCACGTCAGGAGAACATCCCAAATCATTTAACGTATACCCGAGCTAGGGATGGGAGCTGCAGTTGGTGGGGAGGCGAAAGATGACAGAAATGCTGTTAACGAGCTGGGTTTTGTGGTGGACCTTGAACAAGTGAAGGTGAAAGAGATTCGGAGGGACTCAGGGATGGAGTATCAGGGTATGGGGAAGAATGGTTGAAAGCCCGCCCACCGACGGTGGGATGGATAGGGCAGGGGAACATGAAGCAGGCTGAGTGAAGGGTCATTCAGCTATGAAGACATTGCAGAGGTAGGGTGGGGCAAGATCATGGAGAGATTTAAAGGTGAGAACAAGATTCTTGAACTCAGTCCACTGGGAGATGGGGAGGCAGTGGAGCTGAGCTGAATCAAGCATTTTTATGCCCGAACTGGAGGCATATACTGTACATTGTATGTCAACAACAACATGGATTTATATAGCGGACGGCGTCTCAGAGCGCTTCACAGTAACGGATCCCAGGGCCGAGCCAGGGGGAGGGGGAGGAAGGTGACCAAAGGCGCGGTCAAAAGGAAAGGTCTTCAGCCGAGACCTGAATGTGGAAAGGGAGGGGACGAGGTGAAGGGAGGTCAGCCTGGCTCAGTTGGTAGTACTCTCTCGTCGTGAGTTAAGAGGTTGTGGGTTTAATTTTTGCTTCAGGACTTGGTATATTCTAGGCTGACACTTCAGCGCAGTGCTAGAGGCGAGGCTAGATTGTCAGAAGAGCTGTCCTTCGGATGAGATGTTAAGCCAAAACACCATCTGCCTGTTCATGTGAATGTTAAAGATCTCATCGCACTATTCAAAAACAGAAGGGATATTCTCCTGGTGTCTTGGCCAACAATTCCTCAAATCATATTCATCATTCACTCAGGGCTGTTTTGGGGACATTTTGCATGCAAATTGGTTTGCCAACAAAATACACGGTCACTACACTTCACAGTAAAGTCCCGTGAAGCTGCTTGGAAACATCTCGACGAGGTGATAAATTGCTGTATCAAATTTACAACAACAACAACTAAATTACATTTGTATAGTGCCTGTCACGTTGGGAGGATGTAAGGATTATTGTTGGAAATCACTGTTAGCAAAAAGTGTGGGAAGGTGTGTGTGGGGGTGGGAGGTGGGGAGAGAAAACTAGAGAAAAGTAGAGGTTCGGGGGAATTATTGTAACAACTTGCATTTATATAGTGTTCCTTGTGCAGGGTAGAGTCTCAGAGCACTTGATAGTGGCAGAGCATGAAGCCGAACCAGGGGGAAGGGTGTAAACAAAAGTGATGCCCAAGAAGGAACGCTGTGTGTGTGAATTGAATCAGATCCATTGTTATTCAGTATTCTTTGTCACTGGGGATTATTAGCCACACCCAATGGCAGTGGCAGATACTGGAGAGAAAGGTTACCCTGTCCTCTTATGTCCTGGCTGTGAGCTGAGCCCTTTTGTCTGATGTGAAACTAATTGGTGAGGAAATCTCTTCACAAGTGCCAGATGTTATTTGCAGCGAGGGTTGAATGCTCCCACAGAGGCATACAGGGAGAAAAGTCCTCAATTCACCAATATCCCATCACCAGTCATAGTAACGGAGAGGGATAAAGTATGGTGTGACATGACTTAAAATCGATCATCACTGTTGCCTGCTGTTGTCTTTTCTAATTTGGGTTCCCCGATATCATTTCCATTTTGTATATGTTTGAGTGATCTTTTCCCCCTCCCCCCCCAACCTCCTGCCTTCAAACTGGAAAGTAGATGTAAGATATGGGGTTATTCAAATGAACAGCTGTGTAGTTGGGAGAATTGGTGAGGACTTGTAAACTCTTACCCTGAGGCACAATTGAGTCAGGTTTTTGTATGAGTGCATTTGTCCTGACATCTCTTTGTTCATTCCCATTCATCTTCACCTTGTTTGTAGATGTATCTTGTTCGGAAATCTTAGGTTGTGAGCACTATAGTAAACTGTTGAATTGTATTTGTGCTGTCTGTCTAATGCAACCTCCTTGCCAGCCTCCCTTACCTCACCAGTGGCTGGGAGGAACGAGTTTCTTCTCTCTCTGTTGTCGTCAAATTGCTCTGTGCTGGGTTTAGGATAGGACCTTGGACTCACATTGTCCAGGCTTCCTCCCCAGTGCAGTGCTATGAGGTGCATTGCATCCTTAGAGGTGCTGTCCTTCGAATGAGACATTATAATAAAAATAATCCTTGCATTTGCTATAGTGCCTTAACATGTCTTCGATACATCTCAAAGTGCTTCACAGAATATACTGTGAAGTGAATTGACTGTATATTTGTGAGTGAAATACGGCAGCCAATTGCACACAGCAGCGTCCCACAAACAGTAGTGGATTGAATGACCAAATTATTATTGTTTTTTTTAGGGATTATTACCCCCAGAAAAGCGATCCACCAATCGACTTACAACCGGGTTCCTACTCACTGCTAGGTAAACAGAGGCATGTGGAGTGAGGAAACTTTCACAACATTTCGCCCTGCCGGGAATCGAACCCAGGTCTTTCACTTGTTAGACGAATGCTCTAACCACTGAGTTACAGGACTCCACATTAAACCAAGTTACCGTCTTCCTGTCTAGCTTGACGTTAAAGAGCCCATGGCACTGTTCGAAAAGAGTAGGGAGTTTCTCTCTCCCGGTGTCCTGGCCAAATATCCCCCAAATAAAATTGGTCATTCTATTCATGGTTGTGTGTGTGTGCCATTGCTGTGCGTAATCAGGCTGCCAAGTTTCCTTTTTCGTACAAGATACACGGTCGTTACACTTCAAAGTAAATCCTGTGAAGCGCTTTGAGATATAGTTATAATTATTTTTATTACTTCCGACCTTACCTGCTGAGAAGATAAGGTTCCCGAGCAGATCAAAAAAGGTCATTGTTAATTGTAGACGATTGCATGATAAGGACGACAATACAGATTGTCTTCGAAAAGGCCCAGTGATTAATTCTCTAAAGTCAGACACAGACATGCTCCTTGGAATCCAGCCACATTTTAATTCTAACAATATGCATTTTATGTTTTAATAATGATATAATAATCCTTGCATTTGATATAGCGCCTTATCACTTCTTCAAGACATCTTAAAGCACTTCACAGAATATCCTTACTCCACATGCCTCTGTTTACCTAGCAGTAAGTAGGAACCCGGATATTAGTCGATTGGCAGGTTGCTTTCCGGGTAATAATCCCCTCAAAAAGAAAAATAATAAATAAATAATAATTCGGTCACTCAGTCTAAGACTGTTTGGGGGACACCACTTTACACTAGATTCTGTAAAGTGTTTTGAGACTCTCGAAGACATAATAATAATAATAATAATAATAATAATAATAATAATAATAATAATAATAATCCTTACATTTGATATAGCGCTTTTCACGTTGGGAGGACGTCCCAAAGCGCTTCACAGAACACCCTGTAAAGTGAATTGACTGTATATTTGTGGCGAACGCGGCAGCCAATTGCGCACAGCAATGTCCCACAAACAGTCGTAGATTGAAATGACCAATTTATTATTGTTTTGGTTTTTGGAGGGATTATTATTAGGCTCTGTGTGGAGTAAGGAAACTTGCCCAAGGTTTCGCCCTCTGCCTGGAATTGAACTCAGTTCTCTCGCTTGCAAAGCGAGTGCTCTAACCACTGAGCTACAGGACTCCACAACAACAACAACAACAACAACAAGAAGATTCCATTTATAGAGCGCCTTTCACGTCAGGAGGACGTCCCAAGGCGCTGCACAGTTGGGTCATGACCCGAGCAGGAGGGAAATGGTCAGGGTGAGGGGAGGGAAGGGAGGGAGAGAGGAGGGGGAAATGGTCAGGGTGAGGGGAGGGAAGGGAGGGAGCGAGGAGGAGGAAGAGAGTCGAGAGGGGAGCTGAAGGCACGGTCAAAGAGAAAGGTTTTGAGACCGGCCTTGAAGGAGGAAAGGGAGGAAGCAAGGCGAAGGCACTGGGGGATGGAGTTCCAGAGCCTCGGGGCTGAGAGGCTGAAGGCCCGACCACCGATAGTAGGGCGGTTGGGGCGGGGGACATGGAGCAGACCGGAGCCAAGAGGAACGGAGGGTACGGGCAGGTAGGTAGGGGGATAGTAGGTTTGAGAGGTAGGAGGGAGCAAGGCCGTGAATGGCCTTGTAGGTGAGGATGAGGATCTTGAAATCAATCCTCTGGGGGATGGGGAGCCAGTGGAGGCGAGCGAGGGTGGGAGTGATGTGATCGCGAAGCCTGGTGCGGGACAGTACACGAGCTGCAGAGTTCTGAATGACCTGCAGCTTGTGGAGGGAGGTGGCGGGAAGGCCGGCGAGGAGAGAGTTCCCATAGTCCAGCCTTATGCAGGTGACAAGGCGTGGAATCCATATTGAAAGCAGCAGTGAAGAGGTCACGCATCGAGCACAAGCACCAGAAACAGTCGTAGATTGAGTGACCAAATTACTATTGTTTTATCTTTCCTCTGTTAACAGGAAACAGCGGCAGACTCCAGGTATGACCGAATCACCTCTAAATCTTGCGGTGAAAAACTTCGGAACAGATTTGTTGATTATTGCTAAAGATAATGATCTGACAGTATGAACAACGACAATAATTTTCACTCATACAGTGGCTTTCATGTTTACAGTCTTGTGCGGGAGAGGGTGCGAGCTGCGGAATCCTGGATTAACAATGCGATTATGAAATGACATTAATAATCTCAGATGATAATCGACTCATCGAATCTGTTAGGACACATTGTATTTTCAACCCCTCGTAACAGCGTTTAATCATCGATAATTCATGGAAAGCAGCTTTTGCGGATCAGAACAAACACAATTCAGGCTATTTCGATTGTATTTGGTTTATGAAGCATTGACAAGGTGTAGTTTAGATTCCATTCATTAATGCACATACGGATACGCCCACATTCACAGCGGGCATCTGACATTTGAGTTGTTGCTGGTTGTAATATCAATCAGCAAGGTGACAGCTGGCACTGTCGGTAACACTCTCGTTTCTGAATCAAAAGGTTGTGGGTTCAAGCCCCATGTCAGCCCTTTGAGATCACAGCCCAGGCTGACACTCCAACACAGAGCTGGGAGAGTACTGTATTATCGGAGGTGACATCCTTTGGATGAGATGTTAAACCCGAGGCCCCGCCTGTCTGTTCACAGACGCCACAGAGGGCTGACCCGATTCTGACATTCTACCCAACATTCACTACTGTAATTGGAGTTGAGCCACAGATCAGCTATGATATAATAGAATGATAGAACAGGCTCGAGGGACTGAATGGTCTACTTTTGTTTCTGTCTTCTTTTGTTCCTACCTGTGTAACATAGTTGCATTCAAACTGGTGAAAGAATTCAAAAGATTCAAAGTTGTGTGACATCTTCTCGTCGCAGCAGTGTTGGAAGCTACCTGCAGTGTCCCTGTGGCTGAGCCATCTGCAGGTGAGAGTAGAAATAACTTTGAGAAGCATTGAGGAAGCTTGTCAAAGCTTATGTCAACTGATTCACCACCTCCGTGTTTCTGTGATCATGTTGGCATAATCTGAGTGTCTTCATCTTTTCCTTTGATACTAAAAATATATATTTTTTGGTCAGCCGGGTGTCTGACCCATGCGGAAACCCATCCCCATGCTGAAGTGTATCCAAACCAAGCTGAGGTTTCCATGTGTCCCACCTACCCATGGAAATTTCAGAGAAATGTTATTGGAACGGAATGCGCACTCTCTCCCTGGAGGCACACATCCTGTTTATCTAATTCCGGAAAGCATTAGTAGCAGGTTGGGGACCACAGAGTGTGCGTTGGGGTAATCGCTGGAGTCTAACCAGCTAAAACCGCATAGCTTGCCATTGATATCGCTATCTGGTAAAACTTTACCGTCACTCATCCAGCTAGGTCCACCCTACCCCATTAGGGCTTTGGCTTGAAGACTTCTTGGGACGTCCTCCCGACTTGAAAGGCGGTATACAAATGTAATTTGGTTGTTGTTGTTGAAGGGTTAACAGGAGCTAAGCAAGATGACTCCAGATCAAACTCAGGTTCTCTTGCTTGTGAGGCCAGTGGTCTAAACAACATAATAATAATAATCCTTGCATTTGATATAGCGCTTTTTACATCTTCTGAATGTCTCAAAGCACGCCACAGAATATGCTGTAAAGTGAATTGACTGTAATTTGTGGGTGAAACGTGGCAGCCAATTGCGCACAGCAGTGTCCACAAACAGTCGTGGATTGAGAATGACCAATTTATTATTGTTTTGTTTTTTGGAGGGATTATTATTAGGTGTGTGCAGTAAGGAAACTTGCCCAAGGATTCGCCCTGCCTGGAATTGAACCCTGGTGTCTCGCTTGCAAGGCGAGCGCCCTACCCACTGAGCTACAGGACTCCACACCACTGAGCTACAGGACTCCACGTTTATGTAGCATTTAAAAGATGAATAAGAAACAAAAGCCACCGGTCGTGTTCTGGGTAAGGAAAGGGTTATCCAGCGCTCAATCCTGGCAGTTCCATTCCGCCTGGAAAAACATTGTTCTCCAAATCTCTCACACCCTCTTGTTAATCTGCTAAAGTTTCAAGAATGTTTCACAGTCATTGTCTCAAAGACAATGGACGGCCATCAAACTCCTTCACACCTTGAATTGAATCAGCCCCTCTAAAGAACGCTCAATATCGCTTAGATCAAAGAGTTTTGCCTGTTGTGGGGAGACCGGCTGAAACCGCCAATCTCTGAGGAGAGCTGCCCTTGGGATTTGGGGGTACGTCCCGTCTGAGAAGCGCGACAGCGAGACAGAAATAGAATGAGAGAGAACATAAGAACATACGAATTTGCTAGGCAAACGAAAACCAAGGTCCTGACAGTCACATGACATGCCGTGTCCCAAACTATACACTGCATCCCAAGAGATTTCCTAACAGAAATCTACCTAATTTGTTCTTGAATGAATCAACATTTTCGTATGGTTGTCTGGGGGAATAATCCCTCCAAAGGAAAAAGTTGTTGAGACATCTCAAAGTGCTTCACAGAATATATTGTAAAGTGAATTGACTATATATTTTGTGGGCGAAACGTGGCAGCCAATTACCCACAGCAGTGTCCCACAAACAGTCATGGATGGAGTGACCAAATTATTTAGTATTTTTTTAAAGAGATTATTATCCCTGGAAAGCAATCTGCCAATTGACTAACAATTAGGTTCCTACTTACTGCTAGGTAAACAGGTGTGTGGAGTAAGGAAACTTGCCTAACATTTTGCCCTGCCCGGGAATCAAACCCGGGTCTTCTCGCTTGCAAGAAGAATGACCAATTTTATCTTGGGGATTGTTGGTTAGGTCACCAGGAGAAATGCCCTTTTTTTTGAGTAACTTTAATGTCCAACTGAACAGGAAGATGGGACTTTGGTTGAACATCTTATCCAAATCATGGCACCTACAGCAATGCAGTATACCCCCAACTTTGCACTGGAATGTCAGCCTGGACTGTGCATTCAAGGTACTTAGAAACAGCAACCTGCTGACTCCCAACCTTAAATAAGACTGTGTCCTGTGATGTACTATTTTCAGAGCACTGAGCA